TATTTGGGACCGTCACATGACGCCGAAATTCAGCGGGTCGAAGACCCCATTTGTAACAGCTAAGGGGGCGCCACGAGGCTACGAGTTCGCGAGCATCGTTTGAATCGCGCGCGCGCGAAATCACGTGATAGGAAGACGAGTAACGTTAGCGCCCATGGACACATGACCTGCGACTAATGGTAAAAGTTCACTCCAGCCAAGGGATTCAGGTGCGCGCCATCTACAAACGCAATCGACAACTCACAAAGCCCGGACTTGAATTGCGCGCGCGCGAAAATACGGATGAGCACGCCTTAGCGACACGAGCAATTTAACTTTTCAGCAAAACATGTCGCAAGGTCACACCCCCACCGCCAGATGTCACTCATGCCCTAACAATGAAGACGCTTAGTAAGAAAAACGAGCACAATCAATGAAGGGAGGTGTCAACTCATACGCCTAAATCCCAGATGTAAACTGTGTTCGCGCAAAATCGAGAAGAGGAAATGCTATCTTCATCTCATTGAAGTTTAAAATATTCTTCGAGCAGTTCAAAGTTTTAACGCTAGGTGTCGGATACACCACAATTGGCTGGGACTATGCAAAGTTTCACGCGCTGGGCCCGAAATTTCATCAGGGCCACTTCAGAGTTTTACACGCTGGAGCCAGCCCCCCAAATATGGCAGTGCCACTTCAAAACTTTACGCTGTTTTTCAGCTTAGTATGGTTCGTGAGCGTGACATCACCCCCAATTTAGCGGCATCAAGCTGGTGCTAACTGGGACCTTCACATGACGCCCAAAATTTATAGCGGCTCGAAGCTTTTACCACCAGATGGTACCCAATTTTGACGAGGACCACTTCACACATTGAACACTAGATGGCGCCTATTCCCAAAATTCGCTGGGTCTTTGCAAAGTTTTTACGAGCTTGCCCCCGAATTTTAACAGGGCCACTTTAAAGCTTTACGCAAGATCAACATCAATCACGGTCCGCGAGCTTTAAAATTTCACATTCACCCCAATTTAGCGGGACCCAGCTGCTGCTTCTATTTGGGACCGTCACATGAGCCCGAAATTCAGCGGGTCGGAGACCCCATTCGCAACAGCCAAGGGGCCGCCACGAGGTTACGAGTTCGCGAGCATCGTTTGAATCGCGCGCGGGCGAAATCACGTGATAGCAATACGAGCAACGCGTCACGCGACCATGGACACATGACCTGCGTTTACCGCGCAGCGATTCAAATAATGTCACGTGATCATCATGTGACCGCGACGCAGCGCCCTCTATCGGATGAAACACGAACCCTGTGTGACATCACGTGAGCGCCCTCTTTCGGACACAGCTCGAACCCTGTGCGACATCACGTGAGCGCCCTCTGTCGGACGCAGCTCAAACCCTGTGACATCATACGTGAGACGCGAGGCAATTCAAATCCTATATCGCCCTCTGTCGAACGAAGCCTTGTGAGATCACGTGGTTATTATCAGACAGCTGTCAACACGGACAACTACGAAGGGTTAAGCCCTCTAGGAAGCAATGTGCTCGTAGCTCAGGGGGTAGAGTGTTGGACTTCTGAGCTGAAGTTAGAGCGGTCGAGTACCAATCGGCCGCGGAGCCTTTTTTATCGAATAAAAGGGGCATTTACCGCGCAGCGATTCGAATAATGTCACGTGACCATCATGTGACCGCGGCGCAGCGCTCTCTATCGGATGAAACACGAACCCTGTGTGACATCACGTGAGCGCCCTCTGTCGGACGCAACTCGAACCCTGCGTGAGATCACGTGGTTAGAATCACGTGATGGGAGCCGTGCTGATGATATCCCACGTGACCGTCATGTGACCGCAGCGCAGCGCCCTCTGTCGGATGCAACACCAACCCTGATGACATCACGTGAGCGCCCTCTGTCGGACACAACTCGAACCCGGGGAAAATCACGTGGTTAACATCACCTGCGTAATACCAGGAGGCACGTGCGTAATACCAGGAGGCACGTGCCGCGTGCGTCACCAGAGGGCGGGACCTCGATGAGCTCCGATTGGTCACTGGGATGGGAGAGAGGGAAAGGGCCCCGCCCTACTGCGCTGTGATTGGTTGGATTGGATTTGTCCCCGCCCTCCTGCGCTGTGATTGGTCGGATCAGGCCCCGCCCACATAGGAACGCCCCTAGCAACGGGCAACGCCCCTAGCAACGGTTTGTTTACCATCTGTGTAAGCTGGTGCACCTTTACTACTACTGAAGTTGAAATCTATACTGGTGATTCATGGCACATTGCAATGTATAGACCAGCTTAGACATTATCGCAACAAAAATAAAAACTTTGTCTGGTGGCTGCATATCGAAATGCTACACGGCAGCGAGCAGAGAAGCATGAAAACATGAGACACGGAGGTTAGTGGTGGTCAAGAACAACAATCCGATCTTAAAGCAAATGAGTGGTCCTTAAAAGGACCGTTTTGTGTTCCGAGATGTTCCACGCTTTCTCCATAATGGTGGCCTTAAGCTTCGTCAAGGGGCTCGACACCAGTGACCAGACAGGTCACTCTCGGATGGGGTGTCCTCTCCATCCAGCTGGATAATGATGGGCTGGATGTGGGTACTTGTGGCACCGCCTCGTCGAAACTTTGCTTCAATGTCAATAACGTGCCTGACAGCATTAATCCAGTTGTCAGTGGTGACCTTGTCAACTTCTTCGTTGAGGAGTCTCCCTACGTCGACAATCTTGAACGTCGTGTTTCGGGCAGCAACGCCGTTCTTGATCTGCGCCCATATCAGTTCAATGGGGTTGAACTCGCAGTGATACGGTGGGAGCCTGACCACAGTGCAGCCAGCTGTCTCGGCAGCAGTGTCCACAGGATACTTTAGGTGCTGTGGCTTCACCAAGAACACAATGTCGAGCAGCTGCTTCTTCACCATCTTGGGGTCCCATTAAATTTTCTTTGACGTCAGCCACTGTCGGATGTCGTCCCTCCGGGAACTCGTCGTCGGCACTGCTTCCAACCGCCGTGAATGGTAAGAAGCGTTGTCCATGACGATAACGCTTCCTGTCGGCAGTTTGTAGAGGACACCGTCCAACCACTTCTCGAAGCTGGCGCCATCCATTTCCTCGTGGTAATCACCGGTCTTTTGTCCAAAGAACACGTCCAGGCAGTCGTCGACGAAGCCTTCATCGCTGCCGATGTGGGTGACAATAAGACGCTGGCCCTTCCCCGATGGCTGCTTGAGGCCAGTCGAGAGACCACGCATGAAGGCGTCGTGAGACGCGGCCACTGTCGTGTCTACACACAGCCTTGAGACAGTGTGCCCTGCCGTCACCCATGTTCCGTCCAAGTAGAAGATCTGCCGACCATCTTGTCGGTGACGTGCGATCTCATGCAGGTACTTCTGCTGCCAGGCGACTATGTACTCTCGTTCAATCAACCGGGAGTTTCGTTCCCTCTTGTCATGCTCGAATCCGATGTCGTGGAGAAGGCGACGCACAGTTCAAGCCTTCAACGAGGGAAGTTCAGTGCTCGCGCAGAATTCGGCCGTTAACTTCTTGACCGTGGGGACCTCGTTCTGTCGAAAGAAACGGTGGACGCACGATCTCAGCGCGCACAACGTGAACTCGCCGTACCTCACTTTGCGCCGCCTCTTGCCTTCACTTGCTGGGCGCTTCCGAGAAGGTGTCACAACTTGTCCCTCGGTTTCTTTCGCCTGCTTTCTAATCTCGAGGACGGTGCGTACACCAACGCCAAGCAGTTTGCTGACTTTGATGCAGGACTCCTCCACAGTGAGCCTGGGCTGGCCGGGCTTGGCGGGCGGTTCGTGTCGCACCTGAACGTACGTGTTCATTATCAGCTGCCATGCAACTCGGTTGAGGACATCGCCGCTCTTATGCTTCTTGTAGAGGCGCCTTGGCGTAGGCGGCGAGGCTGCACCAGACTCTCTTGACGAAGAAGAATCGGAGGAATCGCATTTTGCTGTCTCCACGTTGGGATTCATAACGGAAAAGGACGACTTCGGGGGGGGGGGGGGGGGGGGGGGGCATTGTCAAAACGCGGATCGCAGGAACTTTCAAAACCTGAAACGCAGGTTTCTTTTTTTAACAAACGCAGCAAATACACGGAATGTACCTAATTCGAGTAGGAAGGTTATCAAGCTAAAACCAACAACCATATATGCTGTGGGATTTCCCCTTTGGGGGTTACCACTCGGAAACACAAAGGTTCGTTGGGTCCGGATAAAGACGTGTTTATTGACTGCAATGTCAGCACGCTTCGCTCTTAGACAATCAAAAGTCTGGGCGCTGGCTCAATTGCCAGTATCACCCAGTCGGTTTCCCGCGCTGCCGCATTAGACAGATTCACGGGAAGTCGGAGGCCCACAAAGAAAAACCGAGCTCCGCAGACCCAGGGCCTCCGCCGACGAGAGCCCCTGGCCCACCTTCGGGGCCAGCTTATGTAGCCTCGGAGAATGGACGCGCCCGGGGAGGCCACTAGCAGTCGCGTCCATTATAACTCAAGGGTGTGCCGAAGGCGCGTTCACCCAAAATGGGCAAGGGAGAGCCGGCCCCTTCGGGGAATTCGGCCTCGTGGTTCCTTGAATCCGGGAGGCCGACGCCATTGGTGACGACGGCTCCCCCGGCCTGCTCGAAGCTAGGCCTGGATAGGGATAGAGGGGACCCCATGGTTCCCACAATGCATTACTTATAAAAGTTACAATTTTCGTTGCACCGAAGCCGTCTTTTTGCGTCAACCTTCCGGAGCGAGTAATTTGCCTCGGCTAGGTGGCGCAAGCTGCCGCCCGCTACAAGGTCTGTCTATAGTCAATATCCATCCATCGAAGCAGAAGGGGCGTTTTGAGCGAACTATTTTCTTGACTGCGGAGGCGTCTGAAGCGGGCGCATCACGCTTATGGGGAGGGTCTTCTACTACCTTCTTAACTTGTAACCGACTATACCTGTCCGCGTTTAGAAAATTTTCTTAACCATAAAGTGCTTTGTTTCAAATATCCAAAATAACTAGAGATTTGCTCACCTTCGAACGATCACGAAAAAGAGGCCTAAATTTCATCACTTTGCTGATAATTCGCTCCTTGCACTCGGTAGATGCTTCTGATGATGAGCATATCTTGCCAGGCTCTGTTCAAGATGACAAAGAGAGTAATTCCTAGATTACTTTTTTTTTTATCTTAGCTAAAATTTCAAGATCATTCCTTTGTGCTGTCTTTTTATTTCTCGTTCATGGGTAACAACCGGTAGACAGAAAAAAAAGAAAAATGTACAATTATATACATTGTAATAATATTTAACTCTCCGTACATTTCAGAAGGCGACAAAGTTAACAGAAACAAGCAGTCCCTAAGCTTTTTTTTTTCCGCTATAATTCGTGATTTGGAGTGGACGTTTTAAGTCATGCAAATTATTGAGGTAATCGAAAATGATTTAGTAAGCACCATAGTCGAAACCGGTTCTTCAATAGCTTCTCCGAGCAAAACTATGATTACATCTCAACGCGCTTTTTTTTTTCTTGTCTGTACGATATTTTATTTATGCCTAAACTGAAAATTCGAAGTAAGCTACGCTCTCGCAAAACCAGTCTTCATCACCTGACCCAGCTCTCCGTGCGACGACATGGGCGAGAATGTGATCACGTGCCGAAAGATCGGCATATTGTCAGGAATGAAGAGGTGAGGAAACAAAGAATAACTGAGGAAACTAGAACGTTTAATAGGGCGAACTTGCGCCAAAACAAAAGGGATCAGAAGATAACAACAGAGCGTCGCGGGCGTCGAAGTCGGCGTAACAGCAGAATCGGACGCTGGGCCGAGACTGACTCGGCTTGCCACGCGTAGCCCCTTTTGTACACGCGTGGGCTTCTGGAACAATCGGGGTAGAAGGTTCGGCACGTAGAACATTCTAACCTCGAATCAGCAACGCGGTTCTCGAATTTGCCAGAACATCACGTGCACCCACGGCCAGGCATCGAACCTTGGCTTTCTGCGTGGAAGGCAAGCGGGATGACCGTTAGGCCACGGGTACGCTGCCTACTTGGTCAGCTCCGCGCGTGGCAGCTGCTCAAGTAGGTCAGCTGCCATGCGCTGACCTACTTGGACTGCAGTGGAAGGTACGAGGTTGTGGGACAATGGGTTGTCCAACGATATTATACCTTCCACTGCAGTCTCAGCCTAAATCTGAACGGAGTACAGGGAGTAGCAGATAGAGAGAAACAAATTTGGAGCTGAAATATACGAACTTCAATCTTTGTATACTGCTTTAAAGAAACAATAAGGAAATTAAAAAGAAAATGTTATTTCACAAACACTACATAAGAAGACTACGCGCACGCCAGTTGGTACATACGGCTGCTATACAGCAACACTCGAATATATTAAAATACAAACATAACATAAACATGTACATTTATATATAAACACGGAGACCTTTAAACGGTAAATATAAAAAATATAATGACACACATATCGCCACGAAATGTGTGCCACATTTCAAAGTGGACAACTGCAGCAAAGGTACAGTGTCGCACTGGAAAGAAAACATAAGACAAACGGCGTGAGATCTGCGTAACAGTTACCGCACAATAGCTACCACTTATTCGACAACCATTTTCGAGACAGACCCGTACGGGCAAGGGAAAGGTTAAAGAAATATCTGCCTCGTCGTCCTCTGATAAAGAAATGGTTTAAGCATTGGAACAGTGGCCCTGTTGAAATAAAAACACTTTCGGCTTTCTGAATTGGGACGTCTGAAAGAAAGTCGTGAGGGATATTTGTCGTCTGTTGCGGGTTAAGAAAAGCACGACAAACTCCTCCCCAAGAGCCCTTCACTGTTACCACTTTAGCAAAGCGAACGCTGGAAAGGAGGTTAGTGGAGAGGAGGAATAGCCTAAAAAGCTCAAATTAGACCTGTGCTGGAATACGATAATACTATTCGCTTTCCGCACACCGCGGAAGGACTGAACAAACTGGAAGGAGTTAGAAAAAAAGGCTAGGAGATTCATTCTCAACGCATTTAGTAACCGCATATCTGTATCGCACGTGATGAAACAAGCCACCATTCAACCGTTAGAAGCTAGGGCAACAAAACTGGATTAAACTATTGCTATTCACGCCTTCATGGCCAATTGAATATTAACGCTAAAAATTTATCGCCTTTTTAACCTCCGGATCGACCAGGATCATTCACAAAACATATTTTAAAACAATGCTTTCAAATATTCATTTCCCCTCGGGCAATGGAAGATTGGAATTCACTCGAAAATTATATTGTAACGCTGCCTTCCATCGGGCATTTCACCGCTGTACTTAACGACACATTTTCGTAAACCACTTTCATGCTCATGTTTATTTATTCTGTATAATTGCTGTTGTGCATAGAGGGCGCTGAACTCATGCATTACCAATTGTATATAAGAGCATCACCATCGGCATAAAGATCAGTCAGCGTCCAGTGCCTGCCTCGTGTCAGTTCTTGTTCTGCGGCCTTCCGGCCGCGTTCGCCGGTCTACACCACATTGGCGCAGTCGACAAAAGCACAACCTCGGCAGCAGTCAACATGACAGCCGTTTTTCGCAACTAGTACGCGAGTGGCGTTACCCATTAACGCAAAGATGAATACGTTCGGGCTGCCATCGTTAGCCCCGTTTTTGGAGGCGCCGGGAGACCCGGCAGTGCCATGGCGGCAATGGCGAGAGGACTTCGAGATCTTTCTGCAGGCGACGGAAATGGACCCGGAACCGCCAGCACAACGAAAGGCGATACTTCTACAGTGTTTGGGGGTGGAAGGTCGAAGAGTGTTTCGCACGTTGGTTCCAGAGCCTGCGGCTGCACCACCGATAACTGCTGCTGCAACTGGAAGTACGCCGGAGAAGACCACATCAAAAGGGGGTGAGCCGGACGACTACACCGATGCACTTCGGTTGTTGGAACGACATTTCACGAACACTCTGAATGTGCTTGTCGAACGACGGCGATTCATGTTGCGGCGACAGCTTCAGGAAGAACCGATACGCGCGTACGTCAGTGCCCTGCGACAGCTCGCGAGTACTTGCGACTTCGGGGACTTTCTTGAGGCAGCGCTGCGGGATAAAGTCGTCAACGGAGTACGGAGCGTGGAGCTAAGACAGAAGCTGCTCATGAAAGGTTCACAGCTTACGTTGGGCCAGGCCATGGACATCCTACAGACGTTCGAGCAGGCAGCGGAAGGTGCCCGTGTCTACGAGGAGGGGCGTGACGCTGCCATGGTTCAGCAAGTCGAGAGGGCAAGAAATCGTTCAGGAACAGGAGTCAGCGGTTCTTCAACAGTTCCGGACCGCAGGTGTTACAGATGCGGTGCGTCAGGACACCTAGCCAGTGCACGGGAATGCAGAGCGCGAGATAGGCGGTGTTCGAGGTGTCACAAGGTGGGACATTTTCAAGCGGTACCGGGCAAGCGTGGGCGCAAGCGGTTCAGGACACGGACGGAAACGAAGAGTTGGGTGTCCTAACAGTCACACAGAACGAGCGAACCACTCTGATAGTCGACGTTTGCGTCGAGGGCGAAGTGATTCAGCTTGTCGTGGACACAGGCTCGTCAGTGTCTATCTTGCCAGCAAACATCTATCAAGAAAAATTTGCAAGACGGTTCGCCTTGGCTCCAGCAACGGTGACTCTGCGGGACTTTTCACAGCAAAGAATTCCAGTCTTGGGATGTTTTGTGGCTCAAGCGGCACGTGGAGGCGTGTCGTCAAACATTCGCTTCTATGTGGTGTCAAGGGGCATGGCGTTGCTGGGACTGGATGCGGTGCAACAACTACGACTGCATATCGACGGCGCATCGCTGGCGTGCCTACAGAGAACGGCGGGGCCACAACCTCTGCCTCCTGAACTTAGTGAGTTTTCATTCCTCTTTGCGGGGAAACTGGGACTTGCTAAAAACGTGGTACACGAAGTTAAACTGCGCCCCAACGTCAAACCAGTATCAGCAAAAGCTAGGCGATTACCGTTGATGTTGCGAGAACAAGTCTCTGCTGAGTTGTTAAGATTAGAGCGTGAAAGCATTATCGAACGGGTAAACGCTTCTGAGTGGGTGTCTCCAATAGTGGTGGTAAAAAAAAAAAGACGGGAGCATCCGACTCTGCGTAGATTTACGGGAGCCAAACAAGGCCTTTGTCGTTGACGGCTTCCCGTTGCCGCACACGGAGGAGCTTTTGCACGCTTTGAACGGAGCAGCATGGTTCTCTAAACTGGACCTGGCGTCAGCCTATCACCAGGTCGAGTTGTCAGAAGACAGCCGGGCACTGACGACGTTTGCCACACATGAGGGACTGTTTCTGTTCCGTAGAGTCTGTTTTGGCCTTGCTTCGGCGCCCGCCGCGTTTCAGCGGATGATGGAAGAAATATTGAAAGGTTGCAAGGGCGTCCTATTGTATATTGACGATATTATTGTCTTCGGCAAAAATAAGAAAGAACACAACAGTCATCTGCGCGAGGTCTTGCAGCGAATAGCGGCCGCTGGCCTGCAACTGAACACGAAATGTGTCTTCGGGGTAGAGGAATTGTCGTTCTTGGGTCACCATGTGGGCGCAAGGGGTCTCGCACCCCTCAAATCAAAAGTGGACGCGATTATCAATGCACAGACGCCAACGGATTTGGTGGGGTTGCGTTCTTTTCTTGGGCTCATGGGATACTATACTCTCATTTCCTCCCTCATTATGCAGAAGTGGTGGAGCCACTGCGGCGCCTTCTTCGCAAGGGCCAGGAGTTCATCTGGGACCAGAACGCTGAGGAAAGCTTCGGCAAGGCTAAGAACCTACTAGCGTCGTGCAGCGCAGTATCCATGTTTGACCGGTCCTTACCTGTACAGGTAACAACTGATGCATCGGCATATGGGCTGGGAGCGGTACTGCAACAGGTGATCGACGGTGAGACGCGTACGATAGCATTTGCATCAAGGACGTTGACGCCACAGGAACGGAAATACTCTACGGGAGAACGAGAAGCCCTGGCATGTCTGTGGGCTTGCGAGCACTGGCATGTGTACTTGTGGGGCAGAAATTTTGTGCTGCGAACGGACCAATCAGGCATTGGTAACATTGCTCTCTACTAATGGCACCGGAAGGCGGCCACTTCGGATAGAGCGGTGGT